GCTTCGACTCCCAGCTAACCATTTTACCCCTTCCCCTACTCAAAGGTAATTTATGTAAATTTACCCCTTTCAAAAAAAAAAATTAATTAAACAATAATAATAATAATAAATGAAAATAAAATGATAAACAAAGAACAAAACCCGAATCCCTCAAATCTTCAACCCACAAATTCGCCGCCTACCCTTCCGATCGCAGAGACTCTCAGCTCACTCACTCATCAAGCAAAGGTAACAGAGAAGCCTACATTTTGCATTTCTCTTCGTTCACAAGAGCTCATTTCTATTTTTCATTCAGATCGCAGTTACAAACATGGCCCAGAAGAATCATAGCAGCAACAAAATGCAAATGGCGAAGGGGAAGGGGAAGACTGCAAGTTCATCCCCCGTCCCCACCAGGTGCTCCAAGTGTCAACAATTCGTCAGGGATATCGAGGCACTCGTCAAGCACCAGGACCTCGCCAAAAGGAACAACAACAAATGTCCTGTGGAGAAGAAAAAGTAGGTTAATGCTTAGAAATACAATTTCAATTCAGAATTTCAATCCAGTATTCTGTTAAAAGTACTTTCAGTTTCTGAAAACAAAATGTGAATGAAATTCTGTGGTAAGTGGGGTTTAAACTAGGTGTGTTCAAATGGTTGAGTTACTTTCATCAAATTAACTACAAGAGGTATGAATGGTATGCCTCCCTCTTAAATGGATAAATCCCTTCCTCTTAAAGTTTGCTTTGCAAGATCTATCTTTAGAAATGTTCGTAATTTGTTTTACATATAAGTAATAGTATCTTGGTGCTTGTAATGCTGGTGGTTGATAGTAGTAGGAAAAGGTTCTTCCCCTGACAGAACCTGACTAAGAAAGGGTGTTCCCCTTTTATTATTGTATATTATTACCATTCCTTTCAACCTCTTATAGGTTATCTTCTAACTCTCACATGTTTTTCCTTCAATCTACCTTTCTTCTATTTTTTCCTCGTGAAACAGTTTAATCTTCAGCTTCACAATGCTATGACTTTCATGAATGGATGGCATGTGAATGATTAGGCAATAAGACTGAATACAACCATCAAAATGCCTCAAAATTATATCCAAGGAATTGCTCTAACTATTTTATCAAGTTCTATTCAATATCTCTAAGTTAAGCTCCCAAAATCATATTTAAGCCCACTGGGAAGTTGTTAGTGTATATGTGAATGAGTGGAGGATAGAGAAGAAGTCAGAGAGAAACACTTTAGACTAGAGGTAGAACTAAAGTGAGAAGAAAGGAATGGAAATTCAAAGTTATATGGTTTTGCAGTTGCGAAGGACAATCACCCTTCAGCACTCACTTCACCACTCTTCCTTAATTTTTTGCCACATAGCAAAAGACTAAACATATAAACCAGATACCAATTATAGTCAGTTCCGTCTCCTTTTACTTTTGTTCTTTGCCCCTGCTTTTTCAACTCCTCTCCTCCATTTTTTCTATCCCTCTTGTTGTACTTCCTCCTCTGTCAGGCAATAGATCAGATAACCAGGATTCTTGGATTTGAGAAAATAGGAAATTCCCACTCCTCCTCCTCCTTCTCTATCCCTCTTGTTGTCCTTCCTCCTCCTCTGTCAGGCAATAGATCAGCTAACCAAATCTGGATTCTGGGATTTGAGAAAATAGGCCTTTATTTCAATCCCCATAACTTGTTAACCATTCTATTTTTCTTTCTTTCTTTCTTTCTTTCTTTCTTTCTTTCATTTAAGTTCTACACTTTTTGTTTGTGAAAGGTCAAGGGATGAGTGTTTTTTAATCTCAATCATAGAGGGTGGAACTTTTGGAAGTATTTGTGTTGTTTTTGTGTGAGTATAGCTCACTCTTTCTTGATTTCTTTGATGGGTTTTGTTTATTTTAGTTTGATTTGTGAGTTTTATGATTTGGGTTAAGTTTTTTGGTTTAAGAGGAATGATTTTGTTAAAATTTATTCTTTGTTTTTATGTTTGGGAAAATCAGATTTAAAAATTAATAATCTTGTGAGATTTTTAATTAGTGCTTTAAATTTTGCATAAAATAGATAGTTTAAATAGATAAAAAAGTGATGAGAGTGAACTTGCATTATCTTGAATTGATTTTGTGAAAACTCAAGATGCGAGAAAAAGAAGTTGAAGGGACAGAAGTACTGAAGGAGATGACAGAGGAGCAGATCTGCAGATTGACTTAGGAGACTTCTCTTCAATTTTTTTTTACAGATTTTTTAATGAGTATCCTGTGTTACAGTCCGCCCTGTGGTGGACTGTAACATCAGGGCCATTAAAAGGGGAAGGGGAGAGCCCAATATCAGGGGCCCCTCCCCTTTTTGATGGTTCTGATGTTACTGTAACACAGTTTTTAGTTTTTTAATAACCTAAAAATCCAACAATAATATTGAACAAAATAGAGTACGGAGGCTCTGGAGTGAGAGAGGGCAGCAGTGGCAAACGAAAAAGAAAATGAAAAAGATTAAATGGTTTGGAATCAGTTGCCAGTTTTAATGTTCAGTCTCTTGCTATGTGTCAAAAAAAAAGAAATGGGAGAGTGGTGGAGCAACTGTTGAAGGGCGACTGCACTTAGCATTACTCTTAGAAAGTTTAGGATAAGTTTTGGATCTGTGCTGCTCAGTTGATTGATTTGATTCTATCTCATATGCAATCTTGAGCCTATGCATTCCATATCTAATTGAGATGCGGACATGTACTTTTCTAGGTGTGAGTTATTTCGAATGGAATAAGTATAGCTATTTAGAATAGCAAAAATACAATAACTTCCCTAGGGATATGATTATTGATAGGTTGATAAGATTTCTGTAGAAGTATGCCATTAAATTATGGTCCATTTTGATTTCCCAATGTTTCTCCCCAAATAATAGCTTTTCCTTTGTTCTACATTTGCACATTTGCATTAAGATTTTTTCTACCCAATTTTACATGAACTATACCTTTCATAAATTGCCATGGTGAAGATGTTGACCTTGACTCTATATGGTGGTTATTTCTTTTAGTTTAGATTGAAAACTAAGGTTGACATCCTGATCTGACTCCTTGAGTTGTTTGCAATAACATTGGTTAGATATATGTTAATGCCTTTCCAATTATATTAGGAGCTCTGGCTTGAATAAAGATAAGAGAAAATTGGATAAAAAGGACAAAACATTAAGATAACTGTGTTTTCATTCAAGAGGGCAAAAAAAAAATTAAAAAAAAAATGAAAATAGAAGAAAAGAGAGTCTAGGAAACTCACCAACAGTGCTGAAAATTTCTAAGAATTGATTTAAATTTTTAGGAATGTTTTGATGCATTGTCAAAATGAACTTATGTTCTGCCAAATTAGTGTTTTTTTTTCTAAGTGTTACAACTTATACGTTGGTTAAGTACTTAGATTTGTTCAATAAAATAGCTAGTTATTTTTATTTTTAATTATATGCATCTATTTAAGAGTAAATGGTAAGCTCTATTAGTTTTTATTTTCAGTTCAATTAAACATTTTAAGCATCCATGCATGATATTTAAGGTAAAAGCCTACATTAAGACCCTCATCCTATTAAGTTCATCACTTTTAGCCCTTCTACCTTTTAGTTCATCGCTTTTAGCTCCTCACCTTACACATTGAAACTTTTAGCCCCTCAACTATTTGAGATTTAAAATAACCCAATATTGAGTCCAATTTAACGTAATAGCCCCTCAACTCTTTGTGGGTTATTTATTTTAAATTGAATAGTTCAGGGGCTAAAAGGTTCAATGTGTAAAAGGGCTAAATGTAACGAAATTAACAAGGTGAGTTTAAATGTAGGCTTTTGCATTATATCTAAATTGAATTAATAATTTTTACATTATATATCATTGTAATAAGTAATGATCTCAAAAATCAACTCTTGAGATTGTATCCAATCTCAGTTAAAGCTCCTATTAGAAGAGAACATAAAAGTTAATCTAGAAATTGCTAGACAACTTGAAAAACCAAAGAATGTTAGAATTTATTGTCCTAATGCCCACGGCTCACAACTAAAGAAATTTCCCTGTCAGTTAACGCAATCTAGACTCTATACTTCATTCCTTCATCTAAAAAGAGTAACCATTAAAACTGCAAGAAATGAATAATAAAAAATTGAGAAATTTAAAAAACAAGAATACTTTGACAAACATGCCTTTCATCAAAACAGAAAAAATGTAAGGCATTTGTGGTCACCTCTTTTTTTTTTTTAGGCCCGCAAATAGAAGATAAGAGCTGGGCATCAGCTTGGAAGGGTACCCTGCCGTCCCATTTGCATCACCATTACCATGCCACGAAGCATGAACAGATAGCTTGTTATTAACCATTACCGAGCGGAT